TGTCGTGACTGTCCAGCTGTGTGTTGGTTGCTTACGTCCTTATTCTGAGTTCAATCTTAACTGAACAAGTTGAGAATACTCCTATTCAGAGTTACATTCTGAAACTTGATGCTGACCTAAAACGTCCAGATATAACAAAGGACAAGGCGCAGCGATGGTACGAGTTCCTGGTTATGCATGTTTTCTGTAAGAACATAGGGAACAACGACCGTGAAAGTCTGTACACCGAGTTGCGACGTAAATACGCAACTGAGGCTCGAGACAAGGAACATGAAAAAAAGTTTCATCTATCCCGATGTAGTAAAAGTCCCATTAAACCACTATCAGTGTGAAGTTAAAATTAGTTTACAATTAATTCCCAAGAGGTGAATTATTTGTAGACCCCGTAGACAATCAAATATAAGAATAAATACACCGCACTGAGCCTCAGGGAGACTCAGTAGGTTTTAGTATCGTATTTTGATGTGTTTACTATACCGACTTATGTGGGAACAGTTTTATGATACTGTATCCACTCTTTTCACCGCATATCGAGTAACCTCGAAGGGAAAGGCGGTAAATAAGAAACCGCGCGAGCTCCCTGATCAAGGATACCTCTCACGCCAGACGTCAGATGATAAACCTCATCAGACGCGTCCGACTCCACTCAATCAACGCGACGCAATAAACGGGCACGCGTGGAGGCGAAGGACAAGGAACCTCCATTTAAGGAGATTAAGAAATATGCCGACGCACGGTGTGGGTGTGACATGTACCAATTGACCCCTTACGGTTATTGGAATGGCAGACATGCACCCACCTGTACACACTTTCTTACTAAGTGTGACAAGTGTGAGAAGACCAATGGCTATCACGCCAAATCTTGTGACAAAACGCCCGACATTAAGTTGGAGTGAAAGTACTACCAGGTACAATCGCTACAAAGAAAATACAACGACTCTTTAGACATGCGTGTAATAATCCCTGTATATTGCAATATTTTAAAGAAACTATGTTTCTTGGAGACACGAAGCTGTAGTTAAAGAACAAGTTGAGAAATGGTTTCGGATGGGGTAATCGAAATCAATTACCAACAAACGCCAGTTAACTTAACGTTATTGGCAGTTGATCAACACAATTCTGACGGAACATTCAAGAAAGTCAGAGTATGTCTAGATATGCGTCCAATAAATAAGTTATTGCCTACTCATAGTTTCCATCTCCCTCGTATAAACGAGTTACTGAGACGAATGGAAGGTGCTACGGTGTTTACACCCATAGACCTAACACAGGGGTGTCATCAAATGCAAATATATGAACCCCATCGTAAGTACTTTAGTTTTACCTGGAAAGGTAAACAATACAGGCTTAGAGGTGCACCTTTCGGGTTGCACTCCTTACCAGCATTCTTCCAACAAGTAATGGAGGAAATGTTTGCAGACATGCCTAACGTGCAAGTCTATATAGATGACATAGTCATCTTTTCTAAAACTAAGGGCGAACATGCCATATTAGTCATGCGAGTCATTAAGAGACTCAACGAACATAACTTCAAGATTAACGAGAAGAAATGTCACTTCGCCATTAGTGAAATACAGCTCTTAGGCTACCGTATATCTGGGGAAGGTATTAAGATCGACCCCGGTAAGGTGGAACACCTGTTAGATTGGCGAACACCAACTATAGGAAGAGATGTGAACAGTATGTGTGGGTTTGTAAACTTCTTTTCAGATAGAGTACCACACTTGGCTGACTACCTTAAATTTTTTGGACACTTAATATGTCATAAAAGCAAATTAGGAGACTTGTGGACTAAAGAGTGTGATGACGCATTTAAAGCGCTCAAGCACGCAGTCCAACAAGCCCCTGTTGTACAAGGACCAGTCGATGGCGTGCCTTTTGAAATAGCAACGGACGCATCAGACTTAGCACTCGGAGGTGTACTATACCAGGTTATAGATAATAAACCTAGGTATATACAATTATTTAGCCGAGCAATGAATGCATCACAGTTGAATTATTCAACTGTGAAGCAAGAGCTACTAGCCATAGTATCAACTTTAACAATCTTCCGCGATTACTTATACGGAACAGCTTTTACGCTGATGTGTGATCAGAAGTCCCTTCAATATATGAAGGAGATGAAGCCAGACTCTCAATACTGAGCCGATGGGATGATACAATATCAAAGTTTCATTTTGATATCAAACATCTACCAGGGATACACCTAGCAAGGACCCTGTTTAATAACATAAAGTCCAAGCCCGAAGTCTTTCAAACCCTATTTTTAAAAGGATTAATGAAAGATAATCCCAAAGCATATACACATATAATGCGACTAAATAAGTCATGTGTATTAAACGCACACGAGCGCACTTATGACGCTCATGCGAAAGAAGGACAGGAGTCTGGAAACACTACAGACTTAGAGACCACACAAGTGGATTCTCAACACCCTACCTTTAGTCTGGAGGAGCAGAATGATAAAAACATTATTGCTTGACTGACGCAAAACCATAAGCTGAAGCACCAGAACGTACTAGACGCACTTAAAGATGCTAAGCGAAATGGGATCGCGCACCCTAAGCTGGCAACTTTAGTTGACAGAGTATTTCAGTCATGTACAGACTGTGATCTCAACCAGATTTAGCGCTATGGGTTCGCACCACTTAAGAGTGTGACTGAAGATGTTCCATGGCGCAGGGTCATCATTGATCTGGTTGACCTGCCTACGTCCGAGCGCACAGGCGACCGTTACGTATGCCACTTCTTTGATTTGGCGTCACGGTATAACTTGCTCTATCCATTAAAGGACAAGAGTACGCAGACCTTGGCAGAGTTATGTTGCCAAGTCTTTGCTGACCATGGATGGCCAGGTATAATGTGTACTGATAACGGTAGCGAGTTCTGCGATGACGTAATGGAATCGCTAGTACTCGTATCAGGTATGTGCCATAAAAGGAGTGTACCATATAAACCGCATACACGCGCGAATGAAACGCGCCATAGAAGACTTAAGTTCTTCTTACGTACTGCATTAACGGATGATGCAGATGATTGGCCATAACACCTTAAGTGGGTACACACACAGATGAACGAGTGTGTTGATCCGGTTACAGGTACAACACCCGCTCACTATTTTCGTGGCAGATATAGTGAGTTACAAATACCTTTTAACAAGGACGAACCTAATCACCATGAGTTACCATGGTTAGAGAAGATACAACCTATTTATAACGTTGTATATCCTTGCTTGCGAGAAACACGCAATATTGCCTTATTAAAAAGGCAAAATAGACGGAATGCTACCAAAAAGATAGCAGAGTATCAGGTTGGGGACAGAGTTAACATCCATCAACGTAATTCCGATGCTACTGCATTAACATCTAAATGGATAGGACCATATACAATCTCTGTAGCTGACGTTAAAAGTGGAACCTATGAGGTTAATAAACCCGACGGTTCCAGTGCTTTAAATATAGGCACTAGTCGGATTCCGACTACTGAGATTATTCTCGCAAGAATACATGACTCTAATGTCATTCTTGATCGTTCTGAATTTAAAGACATTATATGGAGAACGGATAAGGGAAGCTATACATACTATCGTACACGCTTTATAGACGGTACAATCGCTGAGTTGACTTCAGATGCTTTCGATAATCAAGACTATTTAAAAGCCTTTAATCGAAAATGGCGTAAACGCCTGCATAAGTCACAAGTTGAAAAAGATAGCATATTTCCATCGTCTGAAGGCACGGAAGTTAAAACTTACCCGCCTACAGTATTTATCCCGAGCTTTAATGCTCACCCTTCATATGTGCTTAAGACACTGAAGCGTAAGAAGCGTCCAGTCGACCACCACGGACCTACTGGATGGACCTAGGCCCAAAACTCACAGGGTAACCGAGAACGCTTAACTTCTCCGCCTGAGAAACATTAACTATACGTTATGCTACTTAATGTTTTCGACCCGTTTTCCTTTCTCGCTTTTTGACCCATAATCAGCTTGAGTGAGCAACTTGCTTCTCCTGGGTCTCAAAGCTGGGTGGGGACTGTGTGATAGCCGGGCCTCCACATTAGACTCTATGTTATAAACGTACCCTTAAGCAGTACGTAAACTATAAACGTACCCTTAATAGTACGAGGAACTTAAGTTTCCTAAATGGGTTTTAACGGTTTTAATAATTAATACCTTTTCCATTTTACATATCAGATATTTGGACAAAGCCATTAAAGGGCCCCGGTAAAATACCAAATATAAGATTTGGTCTAGTTCTATTAACAGAACTATATTTACCTTCAAATCTATTTATATCTGAATACTTCGGTAGCGAGATGGCTCAACCAAACATAGGTTTCTAGGGACTATTAACGTTACCTAGTTTATCCTCCGTTCAGCCAACCAGATATGCCAGTCAGATGGAGGCTAAGTCGGTAATTCTTGATAAGTGGCAAGTTATTGGTTAATGCAATAACTATGGACATCAGGAGTATTTTTCTTTTTTTCTATTCTTTTTTTCTAAAGATAGGATTTTATGAGTCTCTCGGATTCGCCCCAACGAAACATACCATAGTTTCTATTAGAGCGACAACGAAATACTAAATAAAATCCCTTCGGCGAAAACAGTACTGAGAAGATTATATATAGGCAATGTCTCAACCTCACAATCCCTCTGAGTATTGCTGTTTTCACGAGGCATACCTAACTTTACTAAAAGACTCATTTCGTTTATTTATTTTGATTTTAACTATACTTAGACTTAACCTAAGCGTTTAATTACTCTAAGGCGTTAATATCGCCTTGATAGACCGAATCTTACAATCAGCACCACAATATCGGATCGAAACTTATCCTACGGCTCACAGACTCCACGACGGCACTGCATGCCTTTCGGAAGCGACGCAGCCAATCTCAGCTCATGAACACCCAGCTTAACAGACTTGTCTAGTATTATCACAGAAACAACACCCAGTGGCCAGGCACACTGGGCTATACGCCAGGCTGATAAACTCAACCTGGCAGCAGACATGCTCTCGAGACAGGGCTCTCTGGTTCAATATCACTCAACTGTGACGTCATCCACCGTTCTTCAAATATTCAAATGGTGGCAGATAACCCGGTAATGCACATCACTCCTAGCCCACACCATATCGTCCGACACACTAGCAGTAGCAGCCGCCGGGGTGTTCTTGATGTTTTGTGGACAGTCAGCCATGTAATGGGGACCGCCACATAGATGACATTTGATGAAGGGTGGCAAACACTCCTTTCCCCCAGGTGACCGAGGAGCACTTTGACCACGTGATCGTGAACGGTCGTCTTGCTGTACGGATCGCCCACGGCCGTCGCTCCCACGATCGTTGCTCGTCCCAGATCTCGGAGTGTATGCTGAACCAGCTGTGTCCCTACCATCTCTATCGTGATTCCTATACTCACGTCCACGCTCGCGGTCTGCATAAATTCATCGCTGGGTCGTCGGTCCCGCCCCTCAAAATCCATCGATATGAGAGACGCCAGAGCAGCATTACCTCCGACAGATGTAAAAAGTATAATAAAGAACGCTCTTGTTTTACCCTCTAAGCACGTGGAGATACTGGAAAACCGGACTGCAACATACACCGGCTGTTCCATACGCGGTTCACAAGTCTAAGACGTGCCGATTCCTCACGATGTCTTCTCGGATGTCCTCATCCGTTTCTAACTCACACAGGCGATCCAAGTCATATTCTCGTCGAATCCGCTGGGCATTCGCGTTTCCTTCGTCATATACTTTCTGGATTGCAACCTTTAACGCTGCAATACCTTTCTTGGCCGTTTCGCTGAGAGCCGCATCTGCTGCCTCATCGTCCACTCCTAAAGCTGTAGTTGCTGTGCTGCTGTCTGTAAATCTATCACCTGAAGCGTGACGACGGGACGAAACCCCACTAGCAGTGCGCTTCTTCCGAAAGGACGGAGCTCGTACATACTCGGGATGGAAGGTAGAGTTATTCATCAACCCTTCGTCTCCCTCGATTATGTCCATCGACTCTTGAAGTACAATCGATCGAATCCCGATTTTAAAGATCTCCTGGGCTAATCTTTGGCGCCTCTGGCGCTCCTTGAACAGGGCATAAGTATCACCCTTAAGTTCAAAAGCCCACGCCTGGACAGCAACACTCCGACCTTGACTGAAAAGATCGGTGCATGGACCAAACACACACATATTGTGTTGTTCCATACGCATTACCGTTGGGTTGTTACTAATTCTTGAGCGCAATCTGTATTCAACAGCTCGCATCCGGCACTGGTCTGTTCCATAGACTTGAGTAGGAGAGAATACGCTTTCGTGGTCATACACTCATCCCAAGCCCGGAACTACGGAGCGAGGAACGTCCAATCATCATCGTCCAGACGTTTCCACGACTTCAGCCCTTTAATAACACTATATGTTTTATTGTTGCAACTAGAGGTATTGGAAAAACCCACCATCATTTTTTTTAAAACTCACACGGCCAAATATAATATGCCGGTATCCTTTAAAAAAAAACGCTCTGTACGTATAACACCTGCTAGTCAAGTACGGTCTGTCTAATTGTAGTTCACAACACAGTTGATTCATAAACAGTTTATTAGACAATTATCCGAGCAATTCTAGTATGAATGCCCAGATGATCCTACTGTACTAACCTTATGTATAACTTCATCCAGTCCAGCATAATCCTCCTTTCTCAGCAACAAGCTGAACTTCCTTCTCACACACCACGCCAACCTATATCCACGACACCTTCCTTCCTAGGAAGCCTTATCCCGCTATTCTAGTGATCCTCCAATCCTCTGCGCGGCATAGTGCGTTGCCCTCAGTCCACCTACTCCATCATCTGTCATATCAGCTGCACCAGGTAGACTATGTCAGCTCCCAATCACCCTGACAACTATCACTGAACCATCTCCATGTGCCAGACCTTGGCAGTTCGGTACTTAGCTCCAATACCGAACAGGTCCCTTGTGGATATTACACGCGAGTCACAGATAAATCACGTAGTAGTTGATTAAATCAGGACTGTCCCACTCCAAGTTCTTTTCATAGCCCACTCAAGTTGGGCTAAATAAATATAAAAGGACGATGGACAGGGTACTATCCATCATCCATTTTTCCTTCTCTTTTCCCACCCACAGCCACCCTTTTCATCCGTTTTTCCTTAATTCCGTTTGCGAAGTACATATGATGTCAGTTTATATATTAGGCTGACTCATCTCCAATCGCCAAGACAACAGGGGCATGAAAATATATAGTACTAACCAAGCCAGCCCCGCTCCGTTATCGGTCGTTACCCACACATAAGACAGTCGCATCCTGATGATGCGCCACTTGACCTCGTGGGTCCAAGACCGCTAAGTACTAGTACGATCGACCTGCTTTAGACATAACACACCCATTCTAACATCACAGGATGAATACTCGTGGCGATCAGGACTACGTAGCTAACTTAGAAACATATGTACATTAGGAGAGTCGTAAATAGACTATAAATAATAAAAATAAGTAGTAATATTATATATATATATATATATATATATATATATATATATATATATATATATATATATACTATATATATACTACACACACACACACACACACACANACA